TTGCAAAAAAAAAAAAAAAATCAAAAGGTTTATGAGAAGGAACCAGTATCAGGAATCCACTACATTAAATTTCTTCATGACAGCGTCCAAACCCACACGTCCTGAAAAGTAAAGGAGTTTTGGGTATAAACAGAAAGTTAATATTTTGTAGCACCAACAATATTTGTCAATTCTTTCACCCTTGGACTTGTTTCATTTTCCAGACTTGAAGGAACACCTTACAGAATGAAGTAAAAGTCGATGAAATTATATGATCTGCCATGCATATTCCAGTATACGAAGGTACATACTCAAAAATATGTTCTAAAAACAATCAGAAATTGGATAAAAAAATGTTACGAACATGACTTTTAATTAAAAGAACGTATTGGAACAAAAAAAAAATAACTCCGTGGAAATTGTTTAACACTCTGGAATGAAGAACTTCAAAGCGTCCAAACATCTAGAACCTTCCGATCCATTAAGAGTGATTTTCAAATAGAGAAATATGTTACTATGGACATTGCAAAGTGCGATCGTTCTATACTTGTGCAATTTTAAAGCGGTGTGTTACCTATAAGAATTGAAACAAGACGGTATAAGGGGAGGGCTCTGTTTGATAGACTCTGTAATTTATGTTCTTCAAATAGTGTAGAGGATGAATGCCATGTTGTGCTTCATTGTAGATCAGACTTAAAATTAAAAGCAATATTTTTAACTAGTACTGGATTTAAACAATATGTTAGATTTAGACAAAACCATATTTTTTTCGTCTATTACCTAAGACATACCAAAAATTCTTAAAAACGCAGCATCAAATTATACTTACAGACAGCCTTTAATAACATACGAACAATTCGTATCTTAGGAATCTGTAGATTTTAACTTTGCCACAACGAAAAAAATCGTACTGGCTGCGAGCCACAAAACTACACGAGCTCACTTTTGATCAATCAAATTAAAATTAGACTTGTATTCTCACTCTAATTTTAATTGTATTGAAGCATATAGTAGAGGAGCGAAAATACAGGTATAGTTTTAATAAGCCAGCCTTTTGATCTACATTGTAAGTCTCACATTTACACTTTTAAAGTGACAATACGGCGCATCTCTTCAAAAACAGACTTGTTAAAATTTTCCTATAGGATTTGGAATTTTTTTCATACTTATAAATGTATACACTTTCAGAAAATTACAAATTTCATAAGTAAACTATATATATGCTGTCATGAGACAGTAATACCCCACTAATGTGTTTGCCTCTAAATACACACTTCTACATATTGGGCAGCTTTCCAAGGAAAAAGTCAAAATAATTCTATAATTTACACAGAACATGTATTCGTCAAATTGAGTATGAAATTCTCAGACCCTGTGACCCTGTGACCTATGACTCAGAACCTCTTACATGTATTTTACATGCTTAATTCATTACCAGTTTGTATTTACGAGGGTTGATCCAAAAGTTCGTGGAATTTCTTCATAATTCATTTATTTTTCCGTGGAATTGGTTGAAAATTACAAATGAAAATATAGACACCTGATGAATATTTTAAATTAAAAAACATTTTAAATATCTTTGATAATAACTTTATGGCAGTTGCCATAGAAACGGTTGTTTGGATATGCGGGGGAGACATTAACGCGTTTATCATTATTTAAATTCTTTATTCGTGAAATAAGAATTAAACCGCCCTATGTGGTATATAAAACGAAAACTATGTCATTATTACGATTGCTTGATCTATTATAAACCTTTGTGTGAGAGTTTTACTGATTTTACTGGATGTTTAGTTTATAAGTTGATGGTTTATTGTCCATCTCTAAGTTGTTAGATAACGTCAAATTTCGGTCAAGTCACACGTTTTGTGAAAATCCAGGGATCACTCTATCTTAAACGCGAATATTATTGACAAAGGCTTGGGAAAAATGCATTTAGTTACTGGTTTTCCAGTGGCATAATAATTTTAAGAAAAAAAGAACTTCAATGGACGTTGATAAAAGATGTGGTCGCTTTTTAGAGGCTATATTTAGGTACGTATCCCCCTAGACAAATTAAAAGCGTTAATTGGCGTTGTCGGATACCTTACTGTTCTTGACATTGCTACTGAAATTGGAACATCATATGGAAAGATGGGTAGTTTTTTGAAATATGAGTAAAAAATTAAGATAAGTTGATGCAAGAGGATACCCAGCCTTTTCTTACGAGAAAAAATGGAGAAAAAAGCAGCATTTTGTAGAATTACATATTATAATTGGACATTTGGGTGATATGCTTCTATAACGTGACGTGACATATCTAACTTGACGTTACGTCGAAGTCTCCCCCGGGTTTCCCAACTATCCATTTTTAGAAAGCTCGTGTGACCTTATTGGTAATTGGAAAGTGGTGAAATTTTCCAGTATTGTTGCATATAGGCCACGGTACTTTTACTCATAAACGTAATTCACTAGACCTGCTTAATAAAACATTTTGGCGAAAATCCTACTAAAATCGGTACCGCCGTTTCAAAGATAATCACTGTTGAGTGTCTGCATTTGCACCTGTGAAAACGATCGAGAATCTTTGATAATGTCACTTCCGGTTTAAATGCAATCAAGCTCAGTGACGTCACAAGTGTGTCTCGCTTCCATCAAGTGATAGACGGATAATGTCTGAAAGCGTTGTTTCGGCTAATTGTTCCTTAGAGGAAGAATTGTTAGATCTTTCTTGTGGATCTTCAAGTTTTGACGAGGACTCATTGCTGTGCAATAATACAGAAAATGTGGGAGTAGAACCCTTTCGTTTTGAGCCCTACGTTAGTGAACCCTCAGACGAAGAAGAATCTAGGCCTACCACGAACGATGCGGGACCCGAGGAAGCAAACCGTTTGCATACTATTGATTGGTATGTGAGTAAAACGATAGAAAATATTCACAAGAAGCATTTTAATAATTATTTTAGAAAAATATATGAAATAAAAACATAATTCGACACCCATTTATCCCCCACCCTAAAGCTAATATGACTAAAATCAGCTGATCGAGGGCATGAACAGATGAATACAAGGTTAGTCCCTACAGATTTTAATTTTAGCGCTCATTTTTTTTCTGTTGTTGTGGGAAACCATTCTTTTTCGTACACTTTCATTAATAATTTTCATTGTCGTTATTTTTAATTTATTGCAATGATTTGACCCCCCCCTCCAGTGAACTCGAATGCATGCTTTTTGAAAATTAGTCTGACAATTAAATTTTAAATGACAGCAATTTTATTGAATTGCATAACCATGATAACAGCATATGTAAATATTTTGTAGGTGCAAGTGTGGAAATTGTTCTATAATGCCCACTGCACAGGAATCTGTCTGCTGCCATGAGGTGGAAAATGTTATGTCCATTTTTGAGGAAGACCAAGGCATTACCTGTATAACTAGCCACCCTGGATTTGCACCAGCCTGTTTAAACAAATATGTCCTCCAAATAGCGTATTACCAATATAAACAGCAGTATGGGGAAAATATTGAAGATTCTTCAGAGTAATTAGTAATATGCAATATTTCTTGCACGCATCTTACTACAAATTACACGAATCTTTCAGGATTATCAGTCCAATCTTTATATTTCATAAATACAATACCATATAATTATAATCAGTTTATCAAGTTTACCATAAATCATGTCATTTTAATTTGAGTTAATGTCTTCAAACTTAGTCCAAGTTAAACTTGGCATTTTCTTATTATAAATCAAATTATCAAACCTTAAAAATCTTTTAAGGATAAACCTTAAATTATCTAGGAGTCTTGCAACAACCAAATAAAAAAATATCATTCATGAATTTTAATTACATGTATAGTTTCAAAACTCAATCAACACATATTGTACATTGTATTTTCTGGGTCATAAACCAAAGAACACTGAACACATCTTAATTCTTAAAAAATTGCAGTATCATATTTACATGTGCAAAAATAAAACTATGTGGTACTATAGAGGACTATTTCAAAATATTGGCTTTATGAGGCTCAGAGTATTTGAAACAATAAAACATATACATACATGTAAGTCAACTCACTTTAACATATCCCCCAGGTATCTTGCATTCAAGATATTGGTACATGTATTTGAAATAAAAGAGTTCAAATGTAGATGTGACTTTAAAATACTCCTCTCTCTTTTTCAGAAAATACAGATATACAGCCTATAGACAATTAGCAAGGTGGGCGTGGGGGTATCTTGGAAAAAAAAGATCCGAGTTGTTTTACCATCATGTGCTGTGAATTGTATCCGTAAAACTTTTCCATCTAATTCTGAAAATTACACTGGATTTAAACAACAATAAACATTCTCTGAGAATTACAAGTTAAATAAATTGAATACATGTACAGTCAAGCCTCTTCAATGGATTATAATTAGTCGCCCACGTGGCGAAGTGGTTAGAGTGTCTGCTCTAGAGTCGCGAAGTAAAGATTTAATCCTTACGTCCCAGGTTTGAATCCCTTTGTGAGACTGATTCTTCGGATGAGACCAATAACCCGAGGTCCTGAGTCTTAGTAGGTGCTAGTCTGGTAAGATCCCTCACTCCTCAACGAAATGCCGAATAGAGAACAAAATTTGCAGCTTTCCACCGGCAAGTGGTGGCCTCTCCATATGAGTGCAAAATTCTCCGGAGCCGAGGGATGTTAAACAACATAAAATCAATCAATCAATGAATTACTTCTCTAAACATGCATTATCTTGGTCGACTAAAGCATCATGACTAGAAAATCTTGAAAGTTTTTCTTGAATAGCAGTCTCTTTATTTGGTCTTTCATAAGCACTGCAAAGTGGAGGAGGAACATCGTTCAGCTTGATACCACTGGAGTTCATGGTCTGATCCTCTGCTGAAGTGATGACCACTTTCATTAATTTGTCAATGTAACCTGCAAATAAATGATTTTGTGCAGATACAGTCAAACATCATTCTTTACACATCTTAATGATAAATTAAAGCAAAAAAGCTTGTGTACATACCATATGTGCAGTTGACTTTTACTTCTCTAGAATATTCCCCTTTTTTTGAATTTGGGGAATATGACATCATATCTTTTCCTTCCCTCTTTCGTGGAGGCCTGTTCTCTCATGGCATTTTCATTAAAATGAAGAGCTGCTAATATGATTCTAGAAAGTGGAAGATTTATTGTATCACGTAAATAAATACTGTACCTCATGTTTCACTACACATCAGTTTTCACAAAAAGAAAGCGAATTGTTGTTGTTTTGTTTTTTTTTACCTTGACTTCATCCCATGATATGAAAACCCAATCATTTTGGGTGCAAAATGGTTAACAACAGCGTGATAACCTTCCAACGATGCAGTCTGTGCACCTGGAGATAATTTCTGAACATCCTTCTTCATTTGCTTTGAAGTGGCAATATCAGAAAATTTTTCTGCAGCTTTGCTTCCTACATATGTATGGAAATAATTCTATTCATTATATTGACTGCATATTAAATTCAATGAAGGTCACAATAAAAATTTATAATGATTTATTACCAGGAATGAGCCATTTCTTTTGTTGTTCTCTTCCCTCCAGTGGTCCATGTGAGCACTCAGTGTATAACTGCCCATCGTGTTCGTGTATGTTTTGGACATGGTTGACAATCGACTCCCATTTTTCCAGCATTAACTGACCATTACCACTTGGTGTTGAGGCAGGTACCCAGTAAAGGTGATTGCACATGCTACGGATCCATGGCTGCAATGCTTCACAGTTCTTTTCCTTGGATAAAGCCACTAGTTTTTTCTTCAGTCCTAAAAAAAATACAATCAAACCATGGTATTTCAAACTCAATGGATCCAGTGAAAAAAGATGTGAAAATTTAGAATAAATATATATTAAGTCTATGCTAAAATAACAAAAGCTTTAACCTAACCTTTAGCTACATGCCACACATCAAAATAATGTTTGGTGTTCGGCAATTCCTCTCGGGCATACTTGACAATTTGAACATGGCGGTCTGTCACAATCTCCCCGATTTTTAGTCCTTTACTTTGTACAAGGTTGATGCTTCGTACAAAACCTTCTTTTTCCATATGGTAGCTGCTTTTTACTTCATTACTCTAAAATATATTATGTACAATAAATAAATAAAGTGATATTTTCTTTCATTTTTTTTCCATGAAACTAATTTAAATTTCCATCAGAATGCTTAAAACTCACTTGCACTAGTTCTATATGTATTACAATCATAAGGTCTAGATCCAGCAAACCATAGCTCCCATACTTGGCAGAATGACCTGGGGTGTCTGCTCTACCATCACCTCCTAGGGTTAAAGCCTTCCCACTGGCAGCCATTTGTGTGAAGTAATTTTCTTGGAAGGTCCTCCACACCGAACAAATAGATGGATGTAAATAATACTTTTGGTGTTGGAAAAAAGTATTGGAGGAGATACATGAGACATTCATCTGTTCCATGAACCGGATGGTTTTAGAGGGAAGTAATCCTATAAAAATGGTGAATGTTTATTAAATCATACGTATATAAAACTTTTAATATATGCTACAGTGTATACCAAATTCAACTTTGTATTTTAAAACATTACTAAGTTATGAGTCATTACCAGTAAAGAGAAGAGCTGCAGAGAAAATCAGATTTCCTGCTGGTACAGATCCTATCATGGGCTGACTCTCCCATATTCTGTTGAAGCCACATCCACCACAAGCCTGTTCTATTTTAACCATTGATCCAACAGTTCTCTTCACGTCAAATAAAGCAGGTGCAGAACAAGATGGACAAAATTGAAACAGTTCCAATAGCCTTGATTCAAACACAATGAACTTCCTATCTTTCCATGGTTGATAACTATAAAATCCATTTATAGATAAAAAAAAAAATTCATGTAGAGCAAATGAAGAACATATCGCAATTATCCTATAATGGGTTACATGTTAATTTTTAGCGACTGACAAATTTAGTGATTTTTAAAAAAAAAAAATTTCTTGCCTCAATAGAGTCATTAGATATTTTAGCATGATTAAAATTAATTCATATTGATTAAAGCCGGATAATTGTATTAATTCAGTTTAAATTACATGCATGTAACTAATGTAGTATTAAATATACATATGTGATTGATTTCATAGGTTTTTTTGTTTTGATTTTATTTTTAATTTAGGTTGACATGGGTATTTTTGGTTTCTGTTTTTTTTAATTTTAGGTTGACGTCAATGATATATGCATAATCATTATTATGTCCTGTGTACTTTACATTAAAAAAAATTAAATATTTTAAAAGTACTTACTTTGATATTATTCTCATTGTTATGTATATACATGTATATGCAAGTGATAAAAATACATGTACATGTATAAGGAAATGGTAATTTTCCAAAATATATTGTACAGCTTACTTTTCATTTATTGATGAGTTAGACTGACAGTCATCAGAAAAATTTGGTTCAAAGTCAGGGTCTTTTTCGTCTACTTCTGATGAATATTCATCAATAGAGTCATCATGCACTGAAAACTTCAGTGGGGTCTGCTTCATCTTTTTTTGACATGGATGCTGTTTTCCAATACCATCCTCTAGATCTCTGTTGCACTGGATTCCAGTTGAGGTTAACTTCAGGTTTTTGTCCATATTTACTTGAGTAACTACAGGACATTAATATAAAAACAAAACTAAGTAAGATAATAGTTTTTTTTTAAATCATACACTGTTATTAAGATCATACAATAATTATGTTCTATCAATCAAAGTATACAAATTTTAAGCCCACTGTCCTTAATTCCATTGAATTTGAATCACTTAATCCATGAATAAAGTTACAATCGTGTATTAAATTAAAGTGAGAACAAGATTAAAAGTGAGCTTGTTTATGTTTTATGGCCCCAGATCTAGATATATTGACTGAGTTTAGTGAATTTAAGCCAGCGACAACAATATCAATTACTAACATTTTATGTGCCAAGTGAAGAAGTAGATCAAACTACATGGGGTCATCATTATATATGTATGCAATAGTACAAGATGCATTGAAAAAAAAATCACTAGAAAAGTACATATAAAGAAGCTATTACAAATAAAACGCAGATAATTTTGAGCGTTTTTCAATTTTAGTGATCTTGGCATCCTCGCTAATAATGCCAAAATTAAGTCCTTGCTAAAAAAAAAAAATCTACTTATACGGTACATGCCCCCTTGTTACCTTTGTCTGATTTTTTTATATTAGTTTGGCATCTCTTTGATCGCTTTGATGACACATTCTTGCTCTCGCTTATCTGAAGTCCAATACTTCTTGTTGCAATCTAAATATTAAAAGACAAGTGAGGAATTATAATTTGAAAAAATCAGATGCATACAAAAACTTAAACATACAATATGAGAAAATTTAAGACAAGATAAAAAGTAGCTAAAAAGATAATTTGTACGTGTGCCCATGCCCCAGGCCTAACAATTTGATAAAATAAAATTATGAAATACAGTCCTATTTAATTTCAAAAGTTACTCTGTTTTCTAAAATAAATTCTAAACTAAAAATATGACTGTTTTTCATTATAGTATTCTACAAAAATGATGAATTTTAGTCATTATCAAAAATCAATTTTAATTATGACTGGAAATCATCATCAAAATCTTGGATTACCTGATAAATTTCCTGATCATCTGGTTTAATACAGTCTGTCTGTGAGTGGGATTCATTTTCTTTACACTGCACATGTTCATGTTCATTATGTTGTGATTGCTGAGATTCCACAGCCTGTCAACAAATAAAAAAAATATATAGAGCTTGATAATTAAAATTTGCCTCACTCAGCTTTTACAAATTTGATAATCATAGTCGATGGATCCATGGGCACTGTAAGTTGATATAAATCAACTTTTGGTGCTTTTATTACACGTCTAACATGCACATGTATAAACTTCAAAATTCATAGAAAGGCCGGGGGGGGGGGCTACTGACAATACACGCATGTAAACAAATGTTGAAAACAATCGCATTTCAAATAATTATATTTACATAAAGGAATAGCCATTTAACTTTTTGAACTTACCCTAAAGCATTCCCGTTTAAGAAAAGCAGATCGAATTTTCTTCTGTTGCGATGGACGCGATGTTGTTGGAGCATCTACATCTGAAGAAGATCTCTTTCCTAACAGAGGATTCACTGTTCCGATCAGATGAATAGTGGGTACAGCATCGGGCAAAAGTGACTTTTTCTTTACTTCCATACCGATAGACCTCTTAATCATATATTCCATGGGGTAGCAGTGAACGGCGAAATGTTTCTCGCAGAGCACAGAATGAGGGGTGGGACTGGTGAAATCTTTTCGTTTCGTTTTAACAAAAGCAATCCACTGCCGACGGATATCTGGTCTTTTCGATTCCTTGGGGAAATCATGTAAGGACACATTATCCTTGTGTGTTGATGTGCAGCCCGCTGCAACGCAAAATTTCCCTGTTCTTTTCTTCGACATCGATCACTCCGTGAAATTCTGCATGTCACACTTGTGACGTCACGAACGTCACTTCCGGTATACGGCCAATTTCAGTGCGAGCTCTCAGGTGTGAACTGAGCTATTTTTGGTAATATCTCTAATCAGCGAGAGAGATAGAAGTTACGCTTTGTATCATTTTACTCGTAATTAAAATGACTATCGAACTATGTTAAATTGTAAAACCTTCCAAGCCTTGGGGGGTCCAATCTCCCTAGCCACCCCCTGAATCTTAAATAACAATCTATTTTGTGATTCCAATTAAATAGTAGATTTTTTTCCCTTTTGACTAATTATACATATTTTGTTTCTTGTGTTTATATTACGTCTGTCTAGTGTCTATTTGTCTGCAGAACTTTAACCTTGCCCATAAGTTTTACGTGGGATGGGCTATACACATGGCTTCCACATTTCATAGGTTTATTTCTTGTGACAAGACCTTTTATTTTGACCTCTTGACCGCTTGACCTAGGATTTCTACACATTTTTACAAGAAAAATAACAAACTTTAAATTTGGCCTAAATTTTTATCAGTAGGTGCTAGGGCTTTCATGCTTAACATGTGTATTCATTGTGAACTGTCAACAGGTATAAATTTGTTTGACCTTGACCCTAGAGTTTGAACCACTTTAAAAAAACTTTAACCTTGGCAATTAACTTTTGAACAGGAAGTACTAGGGATGACTTATTTCACATGTATATTCCTTGTGACAATACTTTCTTCTGATACCAACAATTTGAACCATTTGACCTTGACCTTTGAGTTTGACATATATTTGAGAAACTTCAACCTTCGCCATAGGCTTCCATACAGGGGCATCAGTGTTTCACAAACACATCTTGTCTTCATTATTATTTGGTGGTGTCTCCATATGAGGGAAAAATTCCCGAGAGAGATGTATTCACAACAAACAAACAAATTACTAAAGAAGATATAAAACATGAATATGTTGGTCATGCATATCTCTGCCAGAAAAAAACAGCTTTTCAAATACTGTAACCATATTGTAACCCTTTCAAAACACTCATTTGAGTTTTTCCGGTTTCCTTATCATTTAACGTCTGTTGTGACGTGTTGTCCATCTGTTTGTCTGAAAACTTTTTACATTTTTAACTTCTCTAGAACCACTGGGCCAATTTTACCCAATTCATAAAGAAATATGTACATTTGTATGTCAGACTGTCCATCTGTCTCAATAAATTTAACCTTGCATGGTCATCACGGTCATATCTACTGAATGAGAAGAGAAAAGGCATTCATATTAAACTTATTTACTAGTATTTACCTGTGAGAATGGCATGGGTTTTGTTTACATGTGACCTAGAAGTTTGACCTACTAGCAAAAAAGATAAATTGTTATCAATTCATCATTTTGAAAGAGAAAAGTTAGGGCATTCATATTATAATGCATGTATATTATTACCTGTGATAAGACCTTTCCAAATAAATCATGACTTTTAACTCTGTGACCTTGACCTTGAAGCCTAACCTACTTTTCAAAAATGTTGCATTTGCTTATAACTTTTGATTGAGAAGAGATATGACTCTCACATATTTGACATGTACATTAATTACTCATAAGAATTCAAGATGATTCCCAGCATCAATGCTTTTTTACCCCTTGACGTCGATGCTTTACCTAATTTTCAAAATATTTAACTCTCCTGAAAGATAATTAGGCTTCTGAGTAATATTAAGGAGGACTTACGGAATACAGGGCTTTTTGCTTACAAAAACGTAAATTTACCACCCCCATTCCACCTCCCAGGGCAAAATTAAAATTCCGAAAACTTACTGCACATCTACATGACACCACCAACCATCTCCCAAAAGATGATTAGGATACTATGTAAAATGTAGGAGGAGTTCAGGGAAGACGGGGCTTTTTGCTTAAAAAAACGTCATTTTTCGACCCCCATTTAACCCCCTGGGGCAAAATCAAAATTCTCAAAACTTACTGAACATCTATATGACACCAACAACGATCTCCCAAAGATGATTAAGCTACTGTGTAGAATGTAGGAGGAGTTCAGGTAAGACGGGGCTTTTTTGCTTAAAAAACGTCATTTTGACCCCCATTTGACCCCCCGGGGCAAAATCAAAATTTCGAAACTTAACTGCACATCTACATGTCACCACCAACCATCTCCCTAAAGATGATTAGGCTACTGTGTAAAATGTAGGAGGAGTTCAGGGAGGACGGGGCTTTTTGCATAAAAAACGTCATTTTCGACCCCCATTTGACCCCGGGGCAAAATCAAAATTCCGAAACTTAACTGCACATCTTCATGACACCACCAACCATCTCCCAAAATATGATTAGGCTACTGTGTAAAATATAGGAGGAGTTCAGGGAAGAAAAGTGTGACAGACGGACGGACGGACATGAGTAACAACAATATACCCGAACTTTCTTTAGAAAGTGCGGGTATAATAATTCTGATTATTTCATTAAAATTAATAATTATTTATGGCCCATAAATATATATACATCGCAACGTGTTCGAGGTTCCACATTCCATGCTATTCACGCATGCGTATGGTTTTCCTAAACAAAACAGCATGGTAAGAGAGGTAAGCCCGGTAGGCATGCTACATTGACAAAGTCGACCAAAACGAAAAACAAAACCAAAAATAGGGCTTGAAATTAAAAAGCAACTTTCCTGACAAACATTTAGTTGGGAGATTAATATAATCATTGGATGAAGAAGGTAAGGGATCACGTTGGGCTCGCAAAGGTTCTACCCTACAGGTTTATTGATACATGCTATCATTTCTCGTATCTCCATGGCTTTCAAACTCAACGTAAAAATGCACTTATGACATATAAAAAATTATTGCCATTTGAAAGGCAAATTGTATTGGAACTGCAGAAAGATATTTTGTTTGACATTTTGCCACGATGACGTATGATTTGGTGGATTTTCCTTTCCTGTACCCCAATACACAAAACGTCAACATTTGTACTTAATCATATTAAATTCGTCTGAATGCATACTAATATGTTAACAATTATTAATTTACCGGAGAGTTAAGATAATTTGATTCTCAGAATTGCTTTTACTTAATATTGCATTATAATTGTAAACCCTACATTGTATGCACGTGCCATTTTAGACTTCACGTGGTACAAATAATCAGAACTAAGTTGTACGACCCTTGATTTTCCGGCAGATTTTAATTACGTTAATTTTACATGAGGAGAGAATGTTTACTTTTCTCAAATGCTTACTTCAACTTTTTACCTTATTCCTGAATGATATATTGGGTAAATTTGAATGAAAAAGCACACGATTTGCAGCCGTATTACCGCTTTAAATTCCTTTTGTGTAAGTGAGACTGAAATCAAAAGTAAACTAATTTTACTGCCACCCTCAAATTCTCGAAAAGTATCTACCTATTATGTAGCTCAAAATGTCAGTTATCTGTGAAAGTTTTACTTTGTACACTAAAATGAAAATTTTTGCAATAAACCTTCTATAATGATAATCAAAAGTCGTATTTGCTTACCTCACCCCTTCCAATAGTCATTTTTTTGAAATTTATAATTTTGAAGAATAAAAGTAGCTGAATTCGATAAAAAAAACAAACAAACGATAATATACTTAGTTAACGTTTTATTCAAGATGTACAATGCAACATAAAATACATGATAGAATTACACAAAATACAAAGGTTGTTCATAAAGTTCGTTGACAATGACGTTTTGGTCAACTGAATGGATCTGGATATACTCATGTTAATCAAAATAGTTTTTATAAATAGTTTGGTCTTTAATGTTTGAACTTAATATTTTTAATGTCGGCTTTCAAGGACGCAGATACTGCGTATAGCCCAGGGTTAAAATGCAATAATTTTTTCTTAACAAACTTGACCAAAGCTTCATAAAAATAAAAAGCGTTGGAAACATAGCGGGATAATTTT